ATAATAATTAATATTGGGTTCAATTTTCCTCATTTAAATTGGGTAACAATTATCAAAGCATAATAATCATAAAGTTACAATGATCTAAATTAAAGAGTGTGTTTGGAAAAAGTATTCACAAAGTTTATTTGTCAACAATAATTATTGTCTTTATTGGGTTTTCTTTAAGGATCATATTTAGAAAATTTGACCTACTCTGGATTTTCATGCCATAGAAATGTATATTGAATCATCATGGACTTAAATAAAACAAAATTGGGTTGGATTTATCGAAGTTTAAAATAATTATGATGGATTTTACGCAGATCTAATTCTTAAATAATTATATTTTTCAATATGAATACATATTAATTAAAACACAATTTGAATAGAAGTATATGCTTTTTAATACTATATGGTTATGCGATCGACCCCACAATAGTTATATCGACTTATACAATAATTTATGTTCGACAAAAATAAAAAATCAATTTTATGGTATGATGCCCACAAACTATCGAATTAAACGAAGTCAATGAAAATATTAGAAACTAATATATTTCATTTTATTTTAAAAATTATGACTTTGTTTAGACAACAATATATGATATGAATGTATGAGTTCACAATTTAATCAAATTAACTAACTTTTTACAACAATAAATTTGTTTACTAAAATACTTGTAAACATGTCATGGCCCATTTGAAACTTCAAACCTAATCACTCGGTAAAAGTCACCAAACTCCACTAGGATAAAATCATAGTAAAACCACTATAAAAGGAGCCACATTTATAGATTCCTAAATTTATGCAATGACAAATTCATATAATTTCCATCATATTCTCATTTTACATAAATGATGGATATTAATTAAGGTGGGCAGTTTTTATATTGTGGCATTAAATTTTCATTAATATCACTACAAATAATAGAGAAAAAATTTAACCTTTAATAAGAGAAAAATTCAATCAAATCACCAAAGTTTTTGTAGTTGGATTATATACATTTACACATGCACTTGTACATATATGAGTCCATCAAATAGTAAAAAATTTGGTACTTTATTATTATTATTATTATTATTATTATTATTATTATTATTATTATTATTATTATTATTATTATTATTATTGGGAAACTCTATAATTAATTAAAAAATAATTGGAGAGTTTAGGCAAAATTGTATTTTTAGTCTTGCTGGTTTAATGCTGTAGCACTTTTAGTCCCAAAATTTTAACTTTTTGTTATTTTATCATGTAATTCAGTATTTTGCTGCAATTTCAGGTCTTTGGGAATGAAATTGTAACAAAATTTAAAATTACATGACTTATATTGCGACTTAAATTGCTAATAAAAATTCTAGCAATATAAGTCCTGTAATTTTAAATTTCGTTACATTTTTAGTCTGAAAGAACTGAAATTGTATTGAATTTTAAAATTATAAGACCAAATAGTAAAAATATACAATTCTTAGGAATAAAAACGCCAAGTGATCAAATTAACATGATTGAAATTGTAATTTTGCCCAAAGTTTATACCTTTTTTTTTTCATCCTCTTCAAGTGAGTAAGTTTTTTAGAGAGAGAAAAAACAGAGAATAAAAAGAGACCAGATGTTGACAAATTTCGTGTCACTGTTCTTGGAAGGTCGTTTTTTTGTGTGAAGATTTCTTATATGGGATCTCTCTTAACTCTCTCTCTCTCTATCTAAAAAATGATTATTAAACATTGATTAATATTAAATATATACAGTTGCAAAGAATTCATTTTTATCCCTTTTAATATTTCCTATTTTTCCTCACATTCTGTCTTTGTAAAGGCTTTGTAGCTTTCTCTTCAACAGAGAGAAAGAGAGAGAGAGAGAGAGAGAGAGTGTGTGTGTGTGTGTGTGTGTGTGTGTGTGTGGCCCAGCAGATCGAAAGATCTCTAGTTGAGGTTGATGAGGATCTGAGAGCTTCTTTAATGGAGTTATCAAGCAGCCCACTTGCTTGTATCTTTGCTTCACTTTCCTATTATTGAGCATTTCTTTTTCAATTTTTTTTTTTCTCATTTGGTTTAGTGTGAGCCTCTGAAAATTTTCACAATTCTTGGTCCTTGTGTACTTGGAGATACAACTAACTGGGAGATTTAATTTAAATCCATGAGGGTTTCTTGAGGGAGGTGGTTTCAAGATGTGGGTCTAAGGTAATTTTTTTTTTTTTT